GGTACAGATGGTGGAGCAACAAGAGAATGAAGTACAGGGTCAAGAATCTTGGAGCTCACTATGTCTCTGACATTCTTACTGCTCTTACCTCCCTATGCATCAGCTCCTATATCTGTCAAAGGGGATGACACTCAGTGCCAAGGGGATCACTGTTTCAACATGAGGAAAATATCAAAGTAGAGAGCATCGAATGTCACAAGTCCATGTAAATGGCTTCCCAGTAACAGTCATGCCACTAATTCTAGAACTGGAGCATACACGAGTCATGATGCTGAAATTCGGAAGGCTCATCATGGGATTGCAACAAAGTCCATATAGTTCCTGACATGAGTCCCACACCATCGCTTGTTTTGTTACTTTCATTTTAAGGGCTCATGAACCAATTTTCCACCAGTTTCTCAAGATTTGATTAGGGGGCATTATCATCTCAGGCCATCTGGTCATGCTATAGTCAGAGGAAATTATGTATCCAAGGCTTTGATGGAGCAGTGGATACATTTGAGTCACTCCCACGACCACACATCCTGCTCTGGTCTGAATTATTTCTCAGTGCCCTATTATAGTTGGATAAAATCACAGCTAAGGTTGGTATTCTTTGAGAGCTATCTGCAAAATTTCCACCCCGACCTTTACTGCGAAGCTAACAGAAATCTTGGTGCTATTAAGACTGTATATTTTTACAGAAACCCAATTTAGACAGTTTTATCCTAATGAGATTTAATCTTTACCAATCACATTAAAATTAAGCTAGAATATGCATGCCTGGGCCACAGTCTCACAGGTTTTGAAATGTCTATACTTACTCCTGAAAATTCACTACATGGTGTGTGTGTGTGTGTGTGTGTGTGTGTGTGTGTGTGTGTGTGTGTGTGTACAAGTGTACATGTGTTTGCATGCATGTGGAGGCCAGAGGTCATTCCTCAGGAACTGTCTCCCTTGTTTTTTGACATACGGTCTCTCACTGGCTTGGAACTTGCCAAGCAGTGAGTGTAGACTGGCTCCCCAAAATGTGCCCGTCTCTGTCTCATTAGATTTAGTTTTTTGTATGGGTTCTGGAGATCCAGCTCAGGCCCTCATGCTTGCATAACAAGCACTTTCCTGACTGAGCCATTTCCCCAGTCCCGAGTAAGTGAAAAAATGAAAATGAATGGCCAACGTTCTCCTAATATTCTGGTTTGCCGAGTGACAATAGAACAGGTTTAAAATCACCCAGAGAAGGGGACAAATTTTAACTCTTTTATTGCTTCCTGTGTTTTTGTTAAGCCACACTGGGATCTCTACCATGAGAGAGGGTCCAGGAAAAATGGCCTCTGTGACAAATGGCTACAAACTTGAGAGCTCACAAAATGTCTTTTTTTTTTTTTTTTTTTTTTTTTTTTTTTTTTTTTAAATATTTTGCCTCTGGAAATCTCATATCCAAAATGGATTTCACTCAGCTGAAACCAAAATGTTAGCAGAGTTCTTTCCTTCTGTGGGCTCTAGATGCAATGTCTCTCTCGGCATCTAGACACTGCGTCTAGATGCCGTCTTTGGCTCATAGCCCCAGTCTGTCAGCAAAGCCACATGGAAACATCTTTAAACCTCCCTGACTCTTCTGCTCACCTCTTCTAGCTTCAAAAGTTCTTGTGGTTACTTTGAGACTAGCCACAGTCTGAGAGAATTTCTCCATCTCAAGACCCTTAGCATAATCAAATTTGTGAAATTCCCTTTGCTCTAAAAGGGACATACTCAAAGGGGCCAGGGACTCGGGTGTCTTCAGAAGCCATTGTCCTGCCTACTGCAACAGTTGTACACAGTGGTGGGGAGCATCTCCATTCCTCTCCAAGAGTGTCACAGATAATGTAGGTGAAATTTCCCTCAGGGGGTCCCTGACCACATGTACAGTCATCAGTCAGTCATGGAAGGAATTTGGTTCTAACTCGGAGGATTCATTCATCTCCATAATGGGGGATGGAGGCAGTCACCACCTTCCCCAGGCCACTCTTCATTTCTGCAAGACTATCAGCCCTGCTCAGCTCAGATGACTGTCCGTATGTGTAAGTATGTGGTTGGTTTACACTGTTTCCTTTAATAGTGGCCTTGAATTGTATCATTGAACCTATCAATTTTGTCTGGAAGAAATTCTCTCCAAGGAGGCCCTCCCGCTGGCGAGACAGGTGGCTGAACCACACGTTTAAATCTGTCCAAAGAGGAAGCCAGGCCACATCCTCTTGGTGCTGGGGAATGTTGACTTTCACTAAATTTTATTTTACCTCTCTACTATTTGACACCCTTGGGAGCACAGCATAGGAGACTTCGTGGAAATATTCCACTTCCTGAAGCAGCTCTAGTGAGGATTTTCATGGCTTTCTCACATGTGTTCCTTACAAGAAGCTACAGAAGACGAGCCCTCTACTCTCCAAACCAGTATTTTTCTCTCTAAGGGGGTTGTTTCCATTAAATGAACACAGCTTGCTTACACAAGTGATCATTTCCCCCTATGTTCGTCAGCTATTAAGAAGCCAAGGGAGAAAACTGTTGTCCATCTCAAACAAAGCTTTAAAACATCCCAGCCTGTGTAATGCCCATTAACTTATTTTCCTCCTCTTATTGGCTCTTTTCTCTAACTCCTTCACCTTTTTCTAATTTCAGTTATTGTTGGTACTATCTGCAAGCTCAGAATAAGGGAGAGTAAAAATTATGGTGAGTTCCCAAGAATTTATTTTCCTGTATGAGAAAGATACTCTTACTATCTTGCTATTTGTTCTCAGCACAAGAAGAAAGAGAAAAATAATCAGTGATGACATATGCAAATTAACTGTTCTAGTTTGCTTTCCAGTACTATGATAAAACATTCTGGCCCAAAGCAACCCTATATGAAGCAGTTCCTTTGGATTACACTTCCAGGTAGCAGTTCATCCCTGAGGGAAGTTGGTGCAGGAAGTCAAGACAGGACCCTGGAGAGAGGAACTGAAGCAGAGGCCACAGAGGAATGCTGCTTACTGTCTTGCTTAGTCTGTGAGCCTGGGTGTCTCAGCAGTACCACTCTGATGCTGAAGGCCTTAAGGATTAAGCTACTCATCTTCAGCTTGCATTGGAAGCCTGAAGAAACTGGTTCTGCTACCACTGAGAAAGTGCTGTAGCAATAGGATAGATGGGCTTGCCAGCAAGAGTGGAGGCAAGCAGGTAAGAAACAAGGCTTCTGTCTTCCGTGTCTTTTTTATCTGGGTTGCCTTGGAAGATGCCTCCCACATTTAGGGTGGCCTACCTGAATAAAACAATTGGATCAAGAAAGTCCCGGTAATGCCCAGAGGCTTGCATTTTAGTTGATTCCAGAGCCGATCAAGTTGGCAAGTAAGTATAATGAACCATCACACTGACCCTTGGCAGGATGGAAGCCAGTATCTCCATAAGAACAGGTGCTTCTGCTGGCAATCTGAAAGCATCCCCACACTTTGTATGCGGAACACACTAAGAACATAAATGCCAGCATTCTAAATGGCTGGCTTGCTGTTAGCAGATTGCCAGAACAGAAAGTATTCTCTTTCCTAAGGGGCATTTAGTTTTTATTATATCTTTACTCATGGTCAGAAGACATCAGCAAATTTGTGAATGAGATTGAAGATCTCTTCTTCAGGCATTCTGTAACTTTCACACCCTTGTTTTTTGGATGTGAACTGGCTTTGTTAAAAAAGGAAATGCAGAAATGACGTTCATGGGCTGGGAAAATGACCTGTAAGGTGCATGAGGACCCGTGTTCCATTTTCAGCATCCATGTTAATAAGAGAGGTGTGGTGGTGCCTATTGTCCCAGTGCAGGGGAGCTAGGGACAGGAGGACCCCTGGGGCTTGCTGGCCAGCCAGTCTAGGTAAATTGGGAGCTTCAGGTTCCGTGACAGGCTTTATTTCAAAGAATTAGATGGAGAACAACTGCAGAAGACATCTGATGACCCAGTATCAACCTCTGGCACACACACACACACACACACACACACACACACACACACACACACACACACACACAATTTGTTTTATACTTCAGAAATTTCTGGTAATTATAAAAAGTCAAGTTTTTCTTTTAAATCAATATTAACAAAACCTCCAATGTAAACATCTGAGCCAGATTAAACCATAAGAACTCATCTCCAAAGCCAGCAAACAGAATCACAACTCAGATACCTTTGAATTCTGTTAGATTGTGCCTTCTCTTCTGAGTCTATGTCTGCACAGTATCTAGAGCACGACATGTGCTTAATGAATCTGTGTTGAGTTAGTGAGTGATACCACCTAAACCTCAGTAGACCATGTCAAGCCTGGTAATTGTCCATGTGAAGGGCATACAGTGTGTACTGGACATAAGCACCAAGACATATTGAAACCATGGAAGAAAATCCCACTGTACATGAACAATAGAGAAGAAATTTTGATTTTCTTCATTTTTCCCACTTGGCAAAGATATGTCTGAAAGATTTCACACAGAATAGTCCCACGTATGATCACTCTCCTGGGTGTGCTAAGGTTCATGTGCAGTTCTCAGTCTGACAAGTCAATCTCTGTCCACAATTTTCCCAGTTAAGAAAATACACCAGAGCACAAGTGGATTAGAATGTTACTGTAAGAATCATGTCAAACACTGCAACTAATTGAAAAGGACATCACCCACTCTCTTGGCATTTTACATGGCATCAGTAAGATGTGACATGTGCCAGTATCTCATAATAATCAACACAGCACTTGATTATGATGCCAAGACTAAGTGTCTCTGCACAAAAACCACACCTGAGACTACTGTGTCCTCCCATAACCCTCTGAGAACATCTTAAGCCCCAGAGACACCATCTACGATGTTCAACAAAACCTCACTGCAACAATCGATAAAGGTTTTTGCTGTTCATGTGAGTACCATTGCTATTGTGGATTATTCCTACCAATGACAACTCACATAAGAAACACACTGTCAATTTCAACTCCATTTGTACCATCACGACCCTGAAGAAACAGAATCACCAACAGCGAACTTACCACCCCGCCGCCGGCTGAGTGCACAAGCACAGACATCCCTTCCCGGAGGTTGGCAATCTCAAAGAGCATTGTGTATGCTGTGACGAAGTTCATGGGGAAGGCAGCGGCCTCAGAGAAACTCATGTCATCTGGGATCTTGTAGACAAACTCCACTGGGGTGCAGACCACCTCAGCCCAGGCATTGTAGTTGACAAATGCCATGACACGGTCCCCAATCTGGGAATAAAGAAGTACAAAGTTAAAGGAAACTGGTTCATGATGGGGTTCTAAGAAGGGCCCGGCTCATAGGGAGCTGTCCGTGGTACCCAACATGGACAGTGTTTCTATTACGTAACAGACATGGGATGTTTCTCCTAATTCATACACTGTGACCTCCATAAAAATCCTTCCGATTTTCAGATTTCTTCTTTGATGAAGCAAGCACATTTCTATGTATTTGCAGTAAAATCTCAAGTAAATTGCTCTAGATCATATGATTATTTAATGAGCCATTGAGAACTTTGGATTTCCTAACCACCCATCTCTCCTACTCTTTTTTTTTTTTAAAAAAAAGATTTATTTATTTATTTTGTACACAGAAGAGAGCACCAGATCTCATTACAGATGGTTATGAGCCACCATGTGGGTGCTGAGAATTGAACTCAGGACCTCTGGAAGAGCAGTCAGTGCTTTTAACCTCTGAGCCATCTCTCCAGTCCCTATCTCCCCTACTCTTTTTTTTTCCTTTTTTTTTTCCTTTTTTTTGGTTTTTTTGAGACAGGGTTTCTCTGTGTAGCTTTGTGCCTTTCCTGGAACTCACTCTGTAGCCCAGGCTGGCCTCAAACTCACATAGATCCACCTGGCTCTGCCTCCCGAGTGCTGGGATTAAAGGCGTGCGCCACCACTGCCCGGGTCCCCTACTCTTTATTGTCTCCTCTCCACAGTCATGACTTTGGGGAAACTCATTCTGTCACTACAATAATTCTCCTATTCCTCCTCCTCCACCTCCTCCCTTATTTCTCTTCCTCCTCCTTCTTAAACTGTCTCATGTTTTCTGGGATGGCCTAACACTTATTATGTAGCTGAAGATGACCTTGAACTTGTGATCCTCCTGTCTCCACCTTCTGAGACCTGGGGTTTTAGGTATGCACCAGCATGTCTGGCTTTATACAGTGCTGAGGACTTGAACCCAGGACCTCACGCATGCTAGATAAGCATTCTACTAATTGAGCTACATCCTTGTTTTCTGTCACTAGAATTCTGAAGACTGTTTAGGTGGTAGTGGAGGCTTGAACAGTATCAGTCCACCTGATAAGGTTAGGATGAGGCACATACTTCCTCTCTCATTCCCAAATTGCCATTCACCTGAACCTCATGGCCTTCCTTTAAAGCTTCTTTTAACCCTCATAGCCAAGCATCCTTGGACTTACAGTTTGGCTGGGAATGGATTTCTCTTCATAAGAGGTTGTTGTACTTGCACATTTGATTATTACAGAAAAACCCATTTACTGGACAAAAACAATTTTAGACTGAACTCTAACCTACATATTACATCAGTTATTTAGTCTCCATGGCAGCTTTCTGGGGTAGTAGCTCCACTCTGCTCATGTTGAAACTGAAGGTGCATTATGTCTCTGACCTGAGGTCACACAGGCAAAGAGCTGTCTGTTTCCATATGTCTTTTCAGAATATTACAATGCTCTCCTGCGGTGATGGTTTATGTAAGCCCCTTCTCAGTCTTGAATTCCAAGCACAGGTGATATAATGGTAAATGAGTTACAGTTCATACTCTTAAATTGTTCATATTCTCTGAAAAACTGCAGGTGGCAAATACTTTGAGTGACAGGGCTTAGGAGGCAACTCCACCTGGAAGAAATATTTTAGTAGAGAATAAACTTTTAAGCTAATGGAATGAGCATGGTGATGTTTCAGACACTGGTCCAAAAGAGTGAAGATTATGTTTTTCATGTGTGGAAGAGTTGATATGGTCCAAGAGATTCCACAGTAGTCTGTTTCCTAGGACCAGACAGTTCCATGTATTTGGGGATAAGGTTGTTACAACCTCAGTGTGTGGATGTCACAGCATCTATAAAAACTTTCCTGTCTATCCTGGAACCTATCAGATCTGGGTTAAGAGGAGCTCAATTAGATGACACAGGTGAGGACCACATCTATAGTGTTCTAAGAGAATCTGCACATCTCTGTCCCGGTGTCAGGGCATCCCTGATGGAGTTGAAAGAGCTCAATTCAGGAGAGATATCTGAGTCATGGAACCCTGGTATGCCTTGCCAGCGATAGGAACAATGCAAACCTGGTCTGCTTGGTCTGAGAGAGCAGTTAATCACCATGCTGATCTAGTGGCTGGGCACAGAGGAGTATCTGCTACTTAATCTTTCCTTTTTGCTGGAGATTTAAATGGCTTAGACAAGGTTCCCCTGTCCCTGAGTCCTCTCTGGTCTAGACAGTGAGCAGTCTTTGCTCAGGCTTACCTGTGGCTCTGGTTTAAACTTGCTTTCTTTTTTCTCCTCTCTCAAGTCTGTAAGTAATCCTGGACTCACTGAATACTGATTAGAAGTAGTCCTCCACTTTACGAACATATTTCAGATTTCAAGTTTAAACAAATACATTTTATAATTTTTGGAGAGATTTCTGAAATTAGAATCTGATGGAAATTAAAGTTTCCTCCCCATGAAACAAAACCTAGCATTGCCAAAGATGCATATTCATGTCTACCTCCCTATTTCAAGACATTTTTGATCCTTCACAACCAATATATTAAACTCTTCCAGGGGCCACGGAGTCCACATTCTATTAGCCCTCTCCTTGAGTGACACACCACGGACTGTCCAAGCTATCTTCTGACTCAGTTGTCATTTAACTACTCTATTTTAGTGATGAGGGAATCAGATAAACCAGGGTAGCTGAAATTCTGCTAAAACGTCCCTGAGCACTGAGGACAAGACTAGGAGTCCAGCTCACTCTCATTTATTTTTTTTCTCATGCCTAGATAGACTCCCTGCCAGTTTAGTTCATTGTATTTGTGTCTAACCAGATCCCAGGATTACTGATCCTCGTGGACGTGAAACTTGGTAGATGAGAGATCCACGAAAACACACAGGCATGAACTGAACAAAAGCAATGTGGCTTTGAGTGAAATAGGAGAGTGGCACTGGATGGGATGAGTGCTATACAATGTTTACTGGATGGGTAGCACATGGAGGCATCTCTCTAAAAACCTCACATAGTTTGACTCATGTAAGCTTTAGCCGAGAAGGCACAGCTAGACACTGCATTCTTATCAATAGTTGATCTGGCCAAACACTATGAAAAATGGGGAAAAAAGAGCCATCTTTTTGAAATGACAAGTTTTTTAAATGCTTTTTAAATAGCATATCATTATTAGGAAATATCAGAAGAAGCACTAATGTTAGTATGACTCACCAAGTGCTAGGTAAATTAAAACATTCGGGAATTTGAAATATTAGTTCCTTATATTACAGTCTTCAAATGTAATAACAAATTTGCTATGGTCAATGCCAACTCCCAAGAACTAATGGCTTTCCTAGAGAAACGGTTCAATTTTTATGTATTTTTATTATAATTAATTCTTCCATTGTATTTTCCTTGTGGCTTAGTGTTTGCTTCCTATCCTTACTCAACAACAGCAACAACCTCCTTTAAGATGGGTTCTGTCATAGCCCTTGTGTACAGATGAATGACCATAAATATTTATCTTCATTTAAAGGAACCCAAAGAAACATGGAATCACTGTCAAAGGTCACACAGTTGGAGAGTGGCAGCGTCGTGGTTGGCGTCCAGGTACTTCAACTCCCGCTACAAATAAGTAACCCACTGTACTTGAGGTAAGTGTTATGAAGAAAACATACCATGTAAAAGTGCACAAAAGGGGACTCTGTGATGGCATCCTGAACTCCTTAAGTCACTTTCCTCCTCTCTGAAATAGATACCATGTTTACGATGCAATGTGGATCCAGTGTACTTAGCACAGTGCATGGAAACCAAGGAAAGAGTAACACATGCACCTGTTTTACAAAGAATAAACTGGTTCCGAAACTCGGGGATTCACAGATCAATGATCCACTGGAGCACAGACCTGCTCCACTGCATGAAGCAGAAGGAGTAGCTGCCGAATGAAGATCTGAGAGAGAAAAGAAAGGCTGTCCCACTGGCAGTGACTCTGCTAAGTGTTGTCATCAAGGCAAGCATTTGGACCAGATGATGTAGAGAGCCCAGCACTGGCCTCTTCCTCACAGAACTGTGAAAACTGAGACACCAACTCAGTACCCCAGAGTAGCTAATGGCCTCTAGTATCCACAGGGAGTGAAATGAATTGTTTCAATGTGCTTCACAGTTGGAAGGACCACTCTCAGGTCTCACTACACTTCAGCCTATCATGTATTCATTTATTTCATTCTCAAAATAGCAAATGTGACCAGGCGATGGGATCAGCACACAGATAAATACTTGGATACATGTGAAATATGTATCTATATTTATCCAATTAGTTGATTCTAGTAAGAAAAATAAATCAGCTCCGAGGCCATGAGTCCAAAACTTTTTTTTTTTAACTGATGGCCTCTGGACACAACTTTTCTTTTTTCTTTTTTCTTGTTGGTTTTTCGAGACAGGGTTTCTCTGTGTAGCTTTGTGCCTTTCCTGGAACTCACTTTGTAGACCAGGCTGGCCTCGAACTCACAGAGATCCACCTGTCTCTGCCTCCTGAGTGCTGGGATTAAAGGCGTGCACCGCCACCCCCTGGCTAGGACACAACTTTTCAGTCTCTTGCTATTAATAAAAACCAAGAGTGCCATGGAGCATGTTGCTGCATAGAATTCCATCTCCAACATGATGAGGATTAAGAATCTTAGGTCAAAACCACACAGAGGATATTGGTGTTGGCTTTCTCTCATACAACACCCTGTACAGAGACATAGAGAGGACTTTTTAAAAAATATGTGCAGCTGAAAATCACTGGCAGGAGAGAGGGGTTGACATGAAGGCTTGATATTGCTGTCAAGCTATGGCTAACTAAAAGAAGGTAAGTCATAGTTAGAGGACAAATGCATTTAATTGAGTATGGTAAGTTATTCCTCTAAACCAAGTCCAATGACATTTCTGATATTTACTGATATCTAGTCAATGCTCAGGGTTAGCAGAATGAGCAGAGTGAGATTTTTCTTTGGGGCCATGTGGAGGTGTGAAGAACAAACAGATCTATATACATGCAGCACATTCGGAAAGAGAGATGTGTGCCTCAGTGACAATGTCTACTAGGGTCAGAGAATGTGAAGTTGTATTTAAAGGTCCAAAGCTCATCTTTTCTTCCTTTCTGTGTTTTTCTTCTCCTATGTTATTTGGAAATCTTTGACAGAAGCATCGCTAAATGGGATGAGGTTTCCCGGCATTCATCAATGTGAATTTAGAACATTTCATATTTTCAGGTAGAGTGACTCCAGCTGGCATGAGGATGAGCTGCAGGCTGAAGGTCAAGTTGGAGAGAAGGCTGGTGCTGATTTTACAGGACTCATCTTCACTCCTCATGCCTTGCATGCATTTTGGTAGTGTTGGGGGTGAGGGTGGGAATATGGGTAAAGGCCATGAGGTTCTAGGAAGTGTAAAATGACTTGGTGACTTAAATCTGGGGTCTGCTTCTACTTCCTACCTTCTAGACTACCAGAGAATTCTCTTCTCTCTCTCTCTCTCTCTCTCTCTCTCTCTGTCTCTCTCTCTGTCTCTCTCTCTGTGTCTCTCTCTCTGTGTCTCTCTCTCTGTCTCTCTCTCTGTGTCTCTCTCTGTCTCTGTGTCT